AAATCCAAGTATTATTATTATTATTATTATTCCTCATGTAAGGATTTCTTTTATAAACATTGTACATTACAAAGCGATGAGATACGTTAGTTGACTCGGCAGTTATAATTAGACTTGAAATATCTGAATCTTTTTAGTTGGCTCTCTCAAATCCGATTACAAATTTAATATTGTATCCACAACGTCCACACAACACTACAACGTCTAGTAGATGTATATCAACACACAACATTGTGTGTGTGGAGAGAGAGAGAGAGACGTGTGTGTGTGTGTGTTAACCACGCATCACTACATATTGATACCCGTGAGCTGAAACGTTGGAGATCGCCCAAGGCGAGGGTGTTTTAAAACTTTTCAGTATTATAGGGGTCTCACAAGCCTCATGCAGCCTGTAACTTCGCCTGTAAAATGATCCATCAAACCGCAAGAGCGTACACGCATCAGCCAATTTCTTTCCAATACTTCCTCAGTGGTTCTCGATTCTTCGGTTCGTCTTATTAAGTAGTACGTTGTACTTGTCCTCGTTCGCTTGCATCATGTATAGAAACACATTCGCAGCTATATGGGTAAATAAATAAAATTACGTGAGCCCACATGTAAGTACATTCTTCTTTCTACACCACCTGGACTTGGTTATACACATCTACGTGTGAGTTGGCTTTTGCTTTTCGTATTTGATAATAACTCCTGCTTGCCGTCAAAGTTACTTGGCTCGACCAAAACGCAATTCAAACTGTCAAATTAGATTTTATTTTCTTATGGTAACTTTAACTTGGAAAAAAAAAAATTTCCTCCGAGCCCGCTGTACTTTATAGTTACGTTACAACAAGAAAAAGCTCGAGGCACTCTGATTTTGAACGTTTTAACATATTTTACTATAATTGCATAGTAAATATTTGAATTTTAAGTGTACTCCAAGCTTTGACCTTATAGCCACATCCTTTTATTATTATTATTATTATTATTATTATTATTATTATATGTATATATATATATATGTGTATTTTTTTTTTAATTGATACGATAAAAAAGAACGTATTTCTATGAACACACCGATACTTTGAGTTTCTGTTATGGCATGCATTGAAACACGTGGTGCAATAGGAGTATAATATGTATTAAATATTATGTTGTCAAATACCCCTGTTGCGGTAGATGCATTTATACTTTTTTTTCTGTAATTTTATGTAAAATTTCTTCGTAATTTTGTTCATTCATATTATAATTGTGTGTGGACGTTGAACAAGTTTTATCATTTAAATTTTTATCACTAAACTATTAGTAGTTTTTCATCGTAAGATCTTTTCTTTTTAGTGTATCATAACAGTTTATTTTATCTCGTAGCATAAATGCTAACGTCTTTTTACGCTTTATATTTGAAGCGAATGTTATTATGTCGATAAAAAGAATAATCCAATAACCTGTAACTTATAGTTTTTAATAATTGCTATTTGACCTACCTTTATGATTTTTAACCTATTTCTTACTGTATAGCTTCTTTTTCTAGATGCTTATAATAATTATGTTCTCACCTAAACTAAATTACTTTGGATCCACATTTTTTTGCATCTTTTTTAACTATGGATAAATCATGAGCTTACCCAATTATTATTTATCAATTAGCAAGTATCGCACACACGAAGCCATCCTCTCGTATTCATTAACCTCGTCTAAAATCAACAATGTGAGTGTGTAAGAGAATAGACACCGGTTTTACTAAGACAAGTATAAAAAAATATTTTATGATTCGATGTACGGTATACCACAACTTTATTATAGTTGTCTGTGAGGTTGACTTTTTAATTTCTTACAAGAAGCAGTAAAGAACTGTTGAAACATTTTTTTGTTTAAAACGATCTTTGCTCGGATCTTTGTAAGTATACTTGGAAAATACGGTATCAAAGTGGAAGAGTGAGTGAGCTAGAGAGGAAGAAAGAGCGAAAACAAGTTTGAATCTAGTTGTAGATGCGCTTGAGAAACTTTTTTTTTAAAGATTTTTTTTTTTTCTCAAGTAAACAAAAAATTATAACAGTGAAAACTACGATATGGTTCTAATAAATATCGTTAATGATTTCATGATCAAGTAATTTTTACAAAGAAAAATTAATGTGATGATAAAATCTTCCCATTACACTTTTTACACAAAAAAATGTGCTTATATTTCAATAATAACCAAAGGTATAGTAAACAGTGTACTGTTTCTTTGTATCTCGTTTTTGTAACTATTTTTCATCAAAGGCACAATCACCGCGATTCACCTGGCAAAAATCATTCGGAAATATCAAATTTTTTTTCAACAACCTTGTTTCCTTGTACAATAAAAACGTAATTTAATTTAAATGAAAAAATGTATATAGCCCATAACTGAATGGATGGATAGGGATCAACTGATTAATTGCGAATTTGTTGATTTTTAATTTAATGCTTGAACGTGCGCGTGAGTTAAAGGTACGTTATTATTTCTAACGACCTCAGCATCCGTACAGTTCTAATTTTATGTGCCTTAACCACTAGACTTAAGAAGGTTGACTACCTTTGGGTGCGAGAGAGAGAGAGAGGTCCGACTTTGTGCCTTTTTTAGGTTAGAAATGCATGCGCATGTCCTGTAATTTAATATTGAGTTGTATTTACACTCCAGATTATTCATTAATAACTATTTTTACAAAGACCTAATCAACGTGATTATTTTACATTATAAAAAGGCAGATGTTAATTTACTGTTGACTACAGTTTTGTCCAAATCTGACTATTAATTGTATTAAAAATTGTTATTATAAGAATCGCTTTTAACGGTCTTCCATAAGAACGCATGTAAAATTCACAAAATTTGTTTCATTAATTTCTCATTGCATAAGCACCCTAGAGATGTTGAAACTTCACATAAATTTGTTTTATACATTTTTGAAGCTCTGCATAAATTTTAGTTAAAAACTGACCGTCAATTGCTTAAGGTAGTCAACCTCCTTAAATTGTTATTATTATTATTATTATTCCTCATGTAAGGATTTCTTTTATAAACATTGTACATTACAAAGCGATGAGATACGTTAGTTGACTCGGCAGTTATAATTAGACTTGAAATATCTGAATCTTTTTAGTTGGCTCTCTCAAATCCGATTACAAATTTAATATTGTATCCACAACGTCCACACAACACTACAACGTCTAGTAGATGTATATCAACACACAACATTGTGTGTGTGGAGAGAGAGAGAGAGACGTGTGTGTGTGTGTGTTAACCACGCATCACTACATATTGATACCCGTGAGCTGAAACGTTGGAGATCGCCCAAGGCGAGGGTGTTTTAAAACTTTTCAGTATTATAGGGGTCTCACAAGCCTCATGCAGCCTGTAACTTCGCCTGTAAAATGATCCATCAAACCGCAAGAGCGTACACGCATCAGCCAATTTCTTTCCAATACTTCCTCAGTGGTTCTCGATTCTTCGGTTCGTCTTATTAAGTAGTACGTTGTACTTGTCCTCGTTCGCTTGCATCATGTATAGAAACACATTCGCAGCTATATGGGTAAATAAATAAAATTACGTGAGCCCACATGTAAGTACATTCTTCTTTCTACACCACCTGGACTTGGTTATACACATCTACGTGTGAGTTGGCTTTTGCTTTTCGTATTTGATAATAACTCCTGCTTGCCGTCAAAGTTACTTGGCTCGACCAAAACGCAATTCAAACTGTCAAATTAGATTTTATTTTCTTATGGTAACTTTAACTTGGAAAAAAAAAAATTTCCTCCGAGCCCGCTGTACTTTATAGTTACGTTACAACAAGAAAAAGCTCGAGGCACTCTGATTTTGAACGTTTTAACATATTTTACTATAATTGCATAGTAAATATTTGAATTTTAAGTGTACTCCAAGCTTTGACCTTATAGCCACATCCTTTTATTATTATTATTATTATTATTATTATTATTATTATTATTTAATTAACATGCTATTCTCGTAGTAGCTTTCATTACATTCTTACATTAAAAGAATCGTAAAATATGGGAGGGATGAAGAGAGAAAATTTACGGTTGCTCTTTGCGCCAACGGGCTTGGCTGTGACTACATCTGTTGATGGAAGTCACGTAAAAGTATCGTCTATACCTTTTTTGAGACACAAATCATTAATTTTTTGGCACTGTTGAATCCATACTCAATGCAGAGTTGATCTCGTATAATTACCTATACTTATATTTGGCACTTACAATTTAAAAAGCTTCGAATGTGTAATAACTGGGTGTGACTCCTTTTGTCTTGAAGAAAAGTTGATTTTTGTTGATTTTTTTTTTTATTTTCCCAAAGATCAGCGCTTACATAAGGAAAGCTTCGGAAGGAGACAGCACTGCCCGATATTAGGGCATATTATATACGCAACATTTCTACTAAAAAAGCATTTTTGGGTGATGCTTTGTATCAACCAGAATTTTGTGTGCCCTTGTAAAAATGTCACGTTGGTACATGACACTAAAATTCAAAATGATATTAAAAAAATTTTTTCAACACTTTTTATCAAAACATGCCAAACGTACAGCAGAATACTTGAAATTAATGTTGATAATACCGCACGCTACGGTCAACCAATCACAAAAAGCAAAAATAATGATGTTTTAAGCCAAATTAAAAATTCTTACTCAAAACTGTACACTAAAGGTTTTCAAATTTTGTTTGCTATCTAAAAAATAATATTTGACAAAAAAAAATTTTTTTCTACAATATAACAACTACAATGCACCTGTACGCAAAATATAGGTACAGTGCAAGTGGGGAAAAAAAAAAATTATATCTGGATCCTTGTTGAAATTTGTCAGCTGTGCATGTCTGTAGTCGACGAGCAAAGACGAGAGGCGTCCATGCAGCTTCTATATAATACTATCTACCATCTGTTGGTGTACACTCCATCTCGTTTCCTACTACCCTCGCCACCTCCATCACGTTCGCTTTCTCTTGTATTTCTTCTTCCCATCGGTTAACCGGAGACATACACGCATTGTGTGTGTATGTGTGTGTGTGCACACGCCGTAATCTGATCTTCGTGAAAAAGACTCTCTTGGGTCTCGGAGTGCTGGTTCCCAAACCCTGCAGACGACCCGAGACGACCAACGTGCAGCGGCGATGAAAGCCTTAGACGGTCAAATGAATCGAATTGCCGAAGCCTAATGGGAGGAGCCAGGTGTATGAGGCAATTATTCTGATACACTTTCTATTCCTGTCAGCATATCGGAAAATTATAGTCTCGTAATCTGTTACTAATCTTTAAAGTGGAAATATGACTAATTTATATCGAATCAAAAAATTATTTAAAAAACATTTCAATTAATTTTAGCAACGTTATATCGTTATACTTGAATATTTTAAGAAATACTTTTATCGTACACATTATGCGACCAGAAAGTCCGTCCGTATGGTAGCCCCGGTTAAATGGTGCTTACGTGCCTAACACTATATTTTTTCCTACCGAGGGCTCAGTAATCGTCAAAATGGCACGAAAAACGCCTCAAGGTAGGAAAAATGATATAAACAATATTTGAAAACTCAGCAAAGTGCCATCAAAGTATAATATTATGCAATTCCATTCTTACCTGCCTTTTGGACTGCATTAAAAATTTAGATATTTATGCACGTAGATAATTTATTGTTACCTAATGAAAGAATTAGAAGGCCTTTTTTTACACAAAGTTCGTAAGCAGTTTGATAAGGTTTTACTTTATTGTTTAGCAAATCGAAGTACCGAGGTACCGAGATTTTACTTTTTCAAATTCTTACGCGTCTTATTTATGTACGTAACCTAGAGAAAACAATAGTGATCCATTGAGTGATTCGAGTGATTGTCCAATGAAAAAACATCAAATATCATAATTTTCCTACGGTTATATTAATTTGTGTTTTATAGCTTATTTATTTTAAATACTTCGTACTGTTTTTATTCAAACGAATTTTATATTTGTTTCAGATAACATGGATTTTGAATCATCTTTGTATGATTTCGGAGAAGAGGAACAAGATTTTTACGAAGAAGCCCCAGGAATCAGGAAGGGATATCCAATTGATCATCGATCTCTAAAGGTAAGCTCTCTTTTTTTTTTTTTTTTTTTTTTTTTTTTTTTTTTAATTCAAAATCGACGGCGGCAAGTATCGTTATGGATTTCATTATCGTTGTTTCGTAAATGGAAGGTTATGAGTAACCGAGTAACCAACGATACGCGCATCTCTCATTTTGGTAATTCAGTATCCAAAATCACATATAAATGAGGTTAGTTTACTGAAAGTTGATATTCCATGAGTTCATAATTTTCGCCGCTACGAGCGAATAAACATCAAAACAACTTTGTCCTTTTTAGACACGTAAGCCTCATATACCTACAAACATACCTATACAGTATCTATAACGCAGAAAAAAGCTGAATATGCGGACATACAATGGGCACGCGTTATTGGAGCTATTGTCATAATAAAGTATTATGTTTTTATCATGTAAGAGAACAGGGACAGAGGATTGAGCGGGATTGAGACGATGGTATGGAGCATTGGCAGACCCCAGGAAATAATTCAATTACGCCTGATGACGACGCTCATTCACGCAGTCACAGTCTTTTGAACGAACACCGCAAACGTTATAACGAAAAGAAAGACAAAAAGATTTGCGCCAAATCGTACATCGTGTGCTAAATAATTGAATAATCGAGAATGCGCTAATCTTATTGCGAAACAGAGACCTACATGTACATGTTGCATCGGTCATCTTCCTGTATTTATATACACATACATTTATAATAACGTTATGTAGCTCCGACAACTCTTCAATTGTATTGCTTTGTGTTTTATGGTATTTGCCGCAAAGTGTTATATTAAATTCGCACTACTTGAATATATGGGGAGAATTTTCTCAACTGCCCCAGCGCCACCGCAGACAGGCTGCGTGAGCGTAAAAAACGACTTTTTCATCTCGTCGTTTGGGCCTGAGAAAAATGTTTTAAAAATCACAAAAGCATCAATCCCCATGCACTTTTTTCTCAGCTTTCTGATGGCGCTATCAGTTTTCACAAATTTTCACTCTATAACCTATAAAAATGTAAATGTTGGTAAAAATGCGTTAAATCTCATGATGTACAATTTTTAGAACTTTTTTGTCCATCTAGATCGAAAGACGAGACAATTTTACTATAGTCTAGTCAATAAAAAAATGAGATATTTTTATGTATTGGACCGATGCACTTATAGGTGCGAGTCACCGCGCGGCACTGGCGGCTGCTACGCGCCTGCCGCCGCTCCTAACGCTGCCACACACCACAAGACACTTTTATTTATTCTGAATGTAAACAAGTACGCCTTACTTAAATACTGTATAAGAAGAATTTTGTCTTTGTATTGTTTTGATACTGTTTCATTATAATTATCAGGACATTTTTATTGTCTGCCGTAAATTGCACTTTTTTTAAATTTCTTCTATTTATAAAGTGATTTGCCTAGGATNGCGGCTGGTAAAGTAGGATATTATGAAGTTACCAATGAAAACCGAAAGAAAGAGAGAGCGGAAGGTATAATTAATTTGAGGGTGTGCCAAATTTATAGACTCCCTTGGGCTACTGTCTAGCCACCGCTGAAATAAATTATTATTGTTATTACTTCTTGTTTATTTAGTTTTACGTATATGCGCGGGCAACTACTGCTTGGGGTCTGATCATGGTGTTCGATATCCACACTTACGAATACCGTAAAATCAATTGCGCTCCAATTTTGTCTTTGGAATTTGGTTAATCATTCAGACTAAATTTTTTTTTTTTTTTTTTTTTTTTTTTTTACCGTTTTCATCGTACCACTTTTATTTTTTGTACAAATATTTGGTACGAACTGTCCCCAGCCCCTTCCCGTAGATTCGACGAGCGAACGCTCGAATAATATAGGCTAAACACGCACATTGAATAACCAAGTATAATACGAATAGGACGAAGAGGATGATGGGGACGAGGAGGAGTTCATAAATTCATGGTTACCTATCTACATAAGTATATTTTGCGGACCGCTTGCAAATAACATTAATCCGCGCGAAAAGCATTTTCGCTTATCTCGCTTGGTGTAGTATAATGTCAGTGTTACTCTACTCTATCCGACTCTATCCTACCGTCTTATACACACCACCGCGAATAACTCAATACGCGCCGTAAATATCAATTTTTTATTTCAGAGTCTGGGTAAAAATTCATGTACCATTTTTTTTTTTTTTTTTTTTTTTTTTTTTTATTGAACGACCGAGACAGACACACACAGCAGCTTTAATCAGCTCGCGGATGGAGTGATCCAAGTCAAAAGGTTTCATTTAGCCTTATAGACATTGTGCTTGAGCTTCATTATCAAAGTATAACTCTTTTCCATATTCTCATTCTCCTTTCTATCTTAAAACTCACCAATCTCTTTTTTATAGTTTTTCCTACTACTACAGCATCCAATAGTTCATTTGGCATACCTACATACGTTACGGTTAATCATTCACTGATGAGCTTCAGGTGCAAGTCAGCTGAATTTTCAATTGAAGTATGTGGATAATACACGAATATAATCACATTAATTCTACTTGTGTGTGTTAGTACTGCATACATGTCCGTAAAACCAAAAAAGTGCAGCTTCCCATGTACTTACTCCTGTTGCATATTGTTACATGCATATAGGCACACCATGTTATAAGTATGCAGCTACGTGAACAAGAGTGCAGAGAGCACCTCAATAAGCTGCCCTTCGGCTTAACTCGTTCGCCGCCCGTGTGAAGGTCAAGTATTCTCCCCTCCTGTCTCTCTCTCTTCATTTCTTTCCATCTTAATTTTGGATGTAGTTTCACCCACTATCAATGTAACAGTACACACTCAGTGGCGGTATACACACAGATACGCACACGCCCGTCAGGTTTACACGCTCGCGCACACGCACACATCGCCCAGCTGCTCTTGTACTGCTGTATGGGTGTATACACATGTAGGTATACCAACCACATTGCTCTCTCTCTCTCGCTCTCTCCACACACGCGCACAGTGTAGTTACGCTATATATATACAGCTCTCTCTATACGTATACACTTCGGTCATTCAACAGCATCAGCAACAGAAGAAACAGCCGTTCCAGCGGCTCATTCATGATTCCCGTGCGCTTCATTCTCTGCTCTTTTCTTTCTGTCTCTTTTGCTAAGGCCCCCCCCCCCCCCCCCCCCCATACACGCACACATCTAGTTCATCGTCCTACGATTGCTCGAGTTGCTGCTGTGCCTTGTGTCACAATTATTAGTTGTAAATTTACTCTACACGTACCGGCTCTGCTCCTCTCATTACATCTGCCTTCAATCAAAATAGTCACACTCGATTTCTGTTCTACGAAAGATCATTGTCAAATTTAATTATGTTGGAAACAACATATTATTTGCGTGTACCGCAGCTTTTTACGACCAACTATTCCTGAGATACCGTTATTTATAAAATCACGTCAGGAAACCCATAGTTAGAAAATTCACATGTATGAGTCCGTTTCAACTTTAAAATTAATTAAAAATCAAAATGTTTTATTTGGAAAAAATAAACCGTTTACTTAAATGGTGCTCGAAAAATTTTAAATAATCAAACTTTCGACTCAACGCGGTTGGCGCGCGAAGATGCAAGGGACTGATCATATTTAAATCAAAAGTTGCCATTGGCCGCTAAATTATCCAAAAAATTATGTCAAGTTGTAAAAAAACGTTTCATTACAGAGTTTACAATGAGAATCGGATTCTTCATGTTTATCTCGAACACAAATTACAATTTTTAAGATACAAAACCTGAACAATAATCTCAATATATGACTTGCAACTCCAAAACGCAAACATTCAACTTTATTTATTCTAATGCTCTGCTTCTTGGCACTTGTTAGGTAGACGCATCAATTTAAGGTTGGATGATTTCAATATGACGTAAATCAAATGCACCGACCGTTCGTACGGGTCCGAACACATGATGATATTTACACTAGCGCTGCACTGAGCGATAATAGCATAAATGGAGACTCTACAGTATCGAGAAAATCGACTGTATGAAAATAAAAAAAATTATGATTTCTACATAATATAGGCGTAAAAATCCAAGATTTATGTGTTATTTGTCCTACCTATACAGAGCATTAACCTCGGCATTAACATACAATCATCTTCGAATCATTTTCAAACAATAACCCTATCACTGTAAACATACACTGGCGACATCACATTTCTTTTAACCTGGGCTTGGTTTTTTCATAGTAACATTAATAATGCTTGTAAACGTCTTTTTCTAAAGAAATGCATAATTTTTTGATATATAATAGGTGATGGGTTCGAGAAACTTTGGTTTAGTGATTTCTAAGCAATTAAATGCAAATATTTATTTTGGGTAAATGATATTAGGTACACCCAAAACCTGAATCCTCGAAAACACTTATTCAAATATTACAATTATCAAGTCTAGATGGAGTAACCGGTAAGGTAGAAATCTTAAATTATATCTCATATGTCTCAAGTGTTGTTAGGGTGAGATTACATGGAGTTTGGCAGTCTGCAGACTAGCTCCCATTACAGCCCACTAGAGTGAGAGAGAGAGGTCCGATCACGTGACCACTACAATCGGACCTCTCTGCCACTCTAGTGGGCTGTAATGGGATCGAGCCTGCCAGACTCTATGTAATCTCACCCTTAGACTACCAGAGTCATCACCTTGGACTTCATTTCATCGAAATAAGCATTTCACATTATTTGGAGGAGTTACCTTATTCAAGTAGAAAAAAAAAAAAAAAAAAAAATGTTCCTTTGAGAACTCTTGCTTTAAAAGAACAAAGTCCGTCTTCCATTTCTCGTTTACTACCTATACTTCTCAAACTCTTGGGCTCTTTGTCTCTCGTAATATGCATAGCGTATGGGTAATCCCCCTCTTTCGTCTCCCATACCTACTCTCTTATTCCTCCATTTTTCCTGTTTCTCGAGTGTATTCACTCTACTCACAAAGCCCTAATTCACCCGTAGAGCCTCTCGTCATTCCCCTTATTTCTTTCTTTATCTTCCTTGTTTTCGTTGCCATGTCTTTTTTTTTCATCCGCACGCTGCTCAACATATTCTTTCTCTCTTTCTCTCTCTCTCTCTCTCTCTCTCTCTCTCTCTTATGCTTTTGCGCGAGCTACGCTGCAAAGATATGTGCATCCCCATGTCTAATTTTCTCAGCTTTAAGCTGCTAGCTTTTATCCATGCACTACTCCGGTAGGATAAAATGCGAAATAAAAAGCTTCCATCAACACTTTTCAGCCACTTGCGTGCCAATCTTTTTTTGTGAAAACATGCTGTAAATGTTGTCCAATTGAAAAAAACATTTTTTCATTTTTTAACGATTATATCCAGTATCAAAAAACACAGGAAAAATAATATTGCCACTGTGAATTTGATATACATCAATATTTATGCAACGCACTACAATATAATAATTACTATATTACGTGGCCGTGCATTCATCCGTATAGCCCTTAGTGTTCAGTCAATCATTGTCAAAGCTAAAAAAACTATTTTGCGAAAAATTTTTCAGCTGGCCTTGCATTCTAATCGATTTTATAAATTCTAATTACGTAATGCGTTACCTAAAATGCCAACTATAGGATTTTTGGATATTATCAAAATAAATGTAATTGTAAATTTTAATTAATCAAGTGAAAAATAGCAAGACTGAGAGTCAAGTTATTTATCGGAACACAATATAAAAATAATAACAACTGCTGATGTCCATGTAACCCCCATTCAAAATAACTTTGCGGAAATCCAATTGTTGTTCCGAATTATTTGATCCAATAATAGGGGCTCGTGCGTTTATAATTAAGTATGTTGTGTATCACGTATACCTCTTGTGGTATGGCATAATAATACCCACATGTTAACCACCTAAATTTATTTATCAGTAACGTAAGTAGATGATGATAGTATGCGTTAAATTGTTTCAGCAGCATGCGACCGGGGTCAGCGGCTTACTGGGCTACAGCGGCGGCATGATGATGATGTCTAAATTCATGAAGCAGGAGTTAACTTCAGATGCCGAGGAGGAAGGCCTCGTGCCAAATATTCCCGGACGCTTCAGCGGTGCTTTCGCCATGCGCAAGGTTCCTTCTCTCTCGGACCTATCAGACCCGGAGAGCTCACTCGGTACGTTTGTCTCCTCATTTATTCAATTATATTCAAAAAGCTAAGAGTAGGTAAAGTGAGCTTTTCCATCGATGCAGTAATCGTCTATTGGTTTAGCCCGTGAAGCAAAATTCACAATAAATACTCTCGCATATAAGATATTTGTTATTCAAGTGACATTGGTCATACACAATACATTGAAAATCTCTGAATTGACCCAATAATAATCATAATCATAGTGACATATCACATATATTTATATTTCGTCAAATGTTTTTTAATTTGCGGGTTAAATATTTGGTTGAATTCTCATGTACGTGACATCCTGCTTAGCTTCAAAAGTTCATAGTTATTAATTGCATGCAAAAATTTTCCAATCTATTAGACTATTAGGTCTTATTCTCTAAGCGTGGTGTGTGTTGTGTAAATACCGAAATTATGGGGCTTACGATCTTTTGGTTAGCTACTTGAGTAATGCTTTACCATCTCGAAATGTTTCAAATATACACGCCAAGATTATTATGGATAAAAACGGGCCTTAGTCAACGTGAAACAAACAAAAAGTAGCTAAACATAAAACGTATGTTGCTACTGCATGTACGTAAATACATAAAAACACACATTGGTTCACAAAATTGAGACAGCATATGGATCTTGAACCGCAAATCGATCGAAGGGCCAATAATAAATAGAATCACGCTCTAATGTGCTTAACTTGAACGCATAAAAGTTAACACTGCATAATACATTTTCTGTAATTTGAGAAAAGAAAAAAAAAAAAAAAAAAAAAAAAAAAAAAAAAAAAGTACACAAATTTAGGGATACAATAGCAAATAAAATTTTTGCAATTACAAGAATCAAAACTTTGAGCTAAAATCACTACGTTAAAATAAATCTTATGTCAAAGTATTACTTTTTTAAACGTCTCTGCGCGTGTGTACACCGCACCTATATGTACTTTTGATGTTTTTTGTTTTTGTTTGGGACACATGAGAGTATCAAGCCAAGCTAATTTTGTTACGTACTCGTGTTCATATTAGGATGAGCACATCTCTCTTTATATATATATATATATATATAAAGAGGGAGATAATTCACGAATTGAATAATCAGCAGCATCCTCATTAGAGAGCCCTCTAGTGTTGAACGGCCCCATCTTCCTTTCTTTGTCTCGGAGTGCTATATGTTTCTGCCTCCCCCGCACACCCAGTGCTCCTCTTTTATTTTCTCGTCTCTCCTACTACTCTTCTTTTTTCATCTTTACTCGTAATACAAGTTAATATTAATGTAGATACATTAGCTGTACGCGTGACTTACACCAAAAACTAAAAGAAGCAAAGTGAGGGGGGGGGGAGTGTGCGTGTACACAATGTGTCATGTTCCCTCTCTCCCATTTATTGACTTAGCACCGGAAGTTACTGGTGGACTCCAAAGCCTTATGCACCTACTTTCTCTCTTTTACTCGGATTTGGCATGCATTTTATAATCAGATTTTGACACTTCCATTATAATTTACTTGGTTCATGTGACTTCTTTTTTTTTTTTTTTTATCTCGGATCCAGTCTTTGAGGCTTGGAAAGAAATCACAGTCGAAACAACTCTGGAATTATATGTTTAATTTTACCCGACCGAGTTTCGAACCCGTGCCTACTTGATCAATACAAGCTGAGCTACGACTGTTCCCTAAGAGTCGGCATACAATATTATAGATGCCATTAGATTTAATTACTCTCCGTTGGTCATATTCATTTATAAATTTATCGTAATCATCAGAAAAATTGAAAAAAGCTGACATTCATGTTTTATGAACAACTAAAAATACACACTTGTTATTTATAAAATTCAAATATTTACTTATTTTTTTGAAATTAATCAATAACTCGAACGACAACTTTTAAACGCTTAAATGATAATGTATGTGTTTATATCAGTGTGCGTACGTAAAAAAAACAAACATGTACATTAAAAACTCTAACAATAATAAAGAATGCTTAAAAACACACGATACAGATCGATTGCCACAGAGCTTCTCTCGGACGCAACCACTCACTCGCGCGGCCATTAACCAAGTCCATTAAAAACTCTAACGTAGCATCAGTTCCACTTGAGAATACCTATGTGACATCAAAAAAAAGAAAAAAGAAACAAAAAAGCTTTTTGTCCATTCGGAAAATGATTTTTTTTAAATGATTTAAAATTGCGTACTCATTTCAATAATGTTCATGCGCGAGTGTGCATTTTCATACATTCGTCAGGCATTTTTCTGCAATACAGTTGACACAAAATCATACTCTACATTGCAGTAAAAATCGTAGGCGTTGTCATCAACACAATTATTGTATGCTGGGCGTTTAAAGTCATGCGTACGCGCTCACTTCAATTTTATAATTGTCACTCGAGTGGTTAGAGCATTGTTCTCTATTTAATGTCTGTAGGTATAAATGTGTCGTGCGACTCTTTCACTCAATCACAACAAAACCTGTATCTACACTATCACTTATTGTATACCTACTCACTTACCTGCAGTTGCGATCACAACACGGGAACAATACAAAGGTGACTAGTAGTTATGCATGAGATTAAGGCTGCATAGGCTGTATACTTGGAATATATATATAGAAATTTAAATATTTTGAAACTATCTACCTTCAACGAAGCAAATATACTTCATCAGCGCAACTGTTAAATTTGGACTAGGCATGGAAATTATGCTCCATTACTTGAACAAACAAGCAACGTTTAAACAATCAATAGTCATCAGCCAATTTCTAAATAAAATAATTAGTATACTGCCCATGTGTGATGCACCTTGTCCATCGAGGTGTATTAAAACATCATTATAAGTTTTTTTCTCGCATTTTTCACCTAACTTGGGGACTTTTAAAACTGTGTCAAGTATCAGAAAACACTTTTTTTTAAATTAAATTTGCAACTTTTTGAGATTAAATTATGTTTTCACCGTAACGCGTGTTAAAAAAAAAAAAAAAAAAAAACCTACCACTTTTGGATCATTCAAACTTCCAAGTTTGGATTCTACGGGTAATATGGGTACGTTCGTAAGAAATTATACTCATATGCTATAATATTATCCTTGGACACTGTAACTATTGTTTTGGGACACCTCAATAACAACAATCGCTTGTTATGGGTAAGTTTAGCGATTTGAACGACTAAAAATAAAAAAAAGTTTGTAGATATGTCGTATGTCTAATTTCAAAACTCGGAGACAACAAACGCAACTTGAGTTTGTGCTGCCCAATCGTTACACTATTACGTTCCGGTACTTAGGTATATTGTATTCCGAGCATAAAAAGACTTTTGTTACTTGTTACTTTTTTTACTGTTGGCGATATTTTTCTCCTTTCATATAATTAATGTATTACAATGATGATATGTTAAATGCGCGTAGTAAGATGTACATTGCGTTTTACTCGTAAAAAAAAAAAAAAAAAAAAAAACCAAAGCTATTCTAGTCCAGTGATTCTTGATGTTATGAATTAATGTATTCTACTCTAATCTTACACAAATCATGGATGCAGCCGGACCTCGTTGATACGATTAAAGCAAAAAAAACAAGAGAAAAGAAAACAATAAATAAAGAAACGTATTAGCGTAATTGTGATATCTTGCGCTTACAATATAACGCACACAGATAGGTATAGGTACAAGTATTGATGTTATAATATCCGCGTAATATATGTTTAACGTGATGCTTCGGGGCATTGATAATCGTTCCACGAAGTTTAATCTGTGCCTCCAATCATTTTCACTCGTTCAAATTCTCGTGAGCGATAACTGTATGAGCCACTTTTTCGTTGACTGCGTGCCCGGGTGTACACGCGTACACACACGTAACATCGTTAACGTAGAGTCATATATATATACGACTCTCTTCCCACGCAAATGATTTTTTTTACGATGTAATGTACGATATATGATCAAGTAAGTGACCACACCATTCTCTTAAACATAAATATTATGTATAGTCGTAGTTGGGTATATTGGTAGAGCTCAAAGCCAAGCATTTTGCTTGAATGACATAAATGGCTTGCACCGTCTCCTAAATTGCTGTTCTCGTTCCGTCCCCAAAAGCTACAGCAAGAGGAGAGCAGCAGCAGTTCCTCCGCCATTACCCGAATGAATATGCAGTGTGATGTGTGTGTCTCTCTCTCTCTCTCTCTCTCTCTCTCTCTCCCGACAGTATACTTATAAGCGCTGAGACTGCTGTGGCTAGTTATTTTTACCCTCAATTTTCCTCAAAACCAATAACGTCAGTAGCATTATTATTCTGTCTCTTACGGTCTGTTATCCGTCGCCGTGCCGAAATTCCATACCTTACGTAATAAACATATACGCAACCCATCCCTCGGATGCATTCAGTGTGTAGCTATCCGTCATACACACAAACTTACAGGAAAATATTAATAAAAAAAGAACGAATAACGGTGTAGGTATGTATAGGTATGCGGGAATGAATGGTTAAACGTTGTATAGCTTATTGACGACATTGAGCAAACATTCATGAATGAATGTCGGTCGTCGGTACGAGGCTGTATGCTAGCTACATCTATCGGTGCTACCCCAAAGTGAGCAAGTGAAAAGGTTTGTTCGTTCGCGCATAGGTAGCGCGGAGGATGCCACCACATATGTATGTGTGTATATATATATATATATATATATATATTCGAAACCTCTCTGCGGCTGGTAAAGTAGGATATTATGAAGTTACCAATGAAAACCGAAAGAAAGAGAGAGCGGAAGGTATAATTAATTTGAGGGTGTGCCAAATTTATAGACTCCCTTGGGCTACTGTCTAGCCACCGCTGAAATAAATTATTATTGTTATTACTTCTTGTTTATTTAGTTTTACGTATATGCGCGGGCAACTACTGCTTGGGGTCTGATCATGGTGTTCGATATCCACACTTACGAATACCGTAAAATCAATTGCGCTCCAATTTTGTCTTTGGAATTTGGTTAATCATTCAGACTAAATTTTTTTTTTTTTTTTTTTTTTTTTTTTTA